AAATAATCAAATTTATTGCTCCTATGTTTCTAAGATTATTCTACTCGAATTTATATTATTTCCAAATTCCTTACCCTTAAACTCGGAGTGGAAGGCTAGTCTGAACGCAAATTAATTGGAGCAGATTTTATAATTTGACGATTGGGACACTGTAATGCTGTAAAGTAGAATGTAGCCTTAACGTTGAGCGGTTATAGTCAGTTTGGTACACTACGGTTTAACTTCTTTCATGTGTGCCTCAGCACACTGAGTAACCTCATCAAAGAGGAATAATGTTTTCAAACTCTTGTTAGGTCAATGCTGCTAATGTTCTACGCCATTTCTAAGCTATTCACAAGCTTGTATCGTAATCCTATCGCAACCAAAAGAGGTACAAGATCCGCCCGCGCTTGAGTGCGAGTTGAAGTTCAAGACCATTCTTCTATTTACATCAGATGGCTCCAGAAGACTCAAATAGAGATATTATTAGCAAATAGGACATCCTATACTTTGGAGTTGATGGTAAGAATGATAAAGGTGCTTGAACGACTTATTCGCGTCACCCAAAACATCATTGAAAGTGCTCGATTGAATTTTTTTACGACGAAAGAAATGTCGAGTATTTGGCGCACATAACGCTTAAGATATGAACTCTATCACTTTAAATCTCTCTCTATCTATAGTGCACAGTCTTTCTGCAGCTAAGTGCAAAACATCTAAGTGAAGGCTATAAGAAGAACGATAATTCGCTTCGATTTTTTTTGATATGAAGGCCATTTTTAGATCGATGCAGTGACGATGTGCTGCTCCTCAGTCATCCGACGTTGTTTTAGCTTCTAAATAGCTCCTTTTTGACCAAGATTTGAATTTTTCTTATTTTGAACACATGAAACTGGTTGAGGTAGTAGCAGACCACTATATGCTGATTAGAATCTTTTGCCTCCTCGTCGACATTGCTGCGGCTCTTGTCATCAAACAGGAACTACAATGGCAGTTACCTAAGAGAGTAAGTTTGGAATAATTCGGCTTTTTCAAACACGATTAGATTATGTTTAGATCGAAATGATACGACGCGGTGTTTACGAAAGTTACCTTGCACGAATGAATTCATTACGAGCGTTGCCTACAAATGTTGTTCCAATTAGGGTGAGAAGATCGCTTAATGACTTGCCAAGTTTTGTGAATTTTGGAAGAACATCTGCAAATTCTTCCTGCTAAAAAAAGATTCAGCTTGCGCCTGAATCAAACTTTTCAAGGTGTTAGACTTTGCTGATATCGAGTATGTTTCGAACATTACCATCGGAACACCACAGCAACAATTTGTTGTAACTCCCGATACTGGGTCAGCAGACCTATGGGTACCCAGTGAGGAGTGCGAGTGAGTTGACGTTTAAGTTATCTGCTATAGTTTGATGAAGGACCAGCAAATATAATATGTGTAATATTCTACTCGAAAATCCAGCCACATTTAGCTTCTCAAGATATTCAGTTAACTCAAAAGAATGACTATTCAACTTATCCCCCTATCTCTTCTCCTGACCCTTCCTTATCACATATTGCTTCAAAACTTTCTCTCTTAAATCACTCTTTACGTAATCATCATTTGGACTCATGGAGGCAAAATCTTTTGAAATGCAAAATTTTACTCACTCCCCCCGCGTTGCTTTCTTCAACTCCCTCGTCATGTTGCTTTTTTCAATTCTCCCTTCAAGTTTCAATGCTAGGCGTCATCTCGCCATTTTTGAAGATATCGTATGTGTGGAAGAGAGGTCTCATAAATTTGCTGATTTTAGAGAAGATGCGTGCAGTGAAAAAAATAAATTCTCAAGCAAAGACTCAAGCACCTTTATTGGTAGCGATGTACAATGGAACGCACCAGATCTTCTGTTAGGATACGCAGCTGGAGTGAAGGCCGAAGATGTAGTCAGGGTAAAGCTTCTTTTTCCTAAGTATATGTTTCTCTCGAACTTTGTATGCCCATTCGAAATCACAGTGAAATGTCATGTGAGGTGTTTCAGTTTGGAGGTGTAGATGAGCAACAACTTGAAATCGCGAAGTGCACATTCGGCCTTGCGCTCAACATATCAGAACAATATGACGGGGTATTCCTTAGTTGTGAACACTTGAAGCTCACTAGTACTGTATAATAATTTGAGTGCAGGAAAAAAATGACGGTGTACTCGGACTTGGTTTTCCTAGTATCTCAGTAATCAAAGGTGGAGAACCTCCGCTTATCCAAGCATGGAAAC